TCCTGCTCCAGCTGCTCAGGCTGGAGAACTAAAGAATAAAAAGCAAAAAAAAGCTTTTTCTTTCCCCTATATGTATTTAAAAGTTTTCTATTTGTTATGATGACAGTGTCCCTTTCCTGCAGTGTGTCTTTCTTTTGTCCTCCTGTCTCTCTTACATCAGGTTCATTCGGCAAAGCTTGCTGCAATCCACACTCAGCTCCTTGCTGAGATGCCACTGAGAAGACAGGAATATTTCCTTCTAAATAAAATGAACTTGTCAGGCAGAGACCTGGTTTAAGAGGAGCCAAAAACCTGCCAGAACTGGCAGCGACATCACCTGTGTTCAGTGCTATTTCAAGGAGAACTGCCCATTGCAAGGCCTGCAGGGTGAATCACACATAAAAACACTAATTAGAAAATCACAGGGCCTGGAACCCAATCAGGTTCACCAGCAAGCAGCAGTACCCAAATGAGTTTGTGTGCCTTGTGTGTAAAAACACATAGCTCTTGGATGGGGCTGGTTAAACTGTGCAGGTCCTCCAGATGAGGCAAAGCAGAACCACCATAGGTTATCACAGCTGGAAGTGCCTCTTTGCTTTACTGTTCATACTTTAAAAGAGACATAAATAGTGCTAGGGAATCACTGAACATGTTTTACTCCTGGGCTGTAGTGGTTTTAACACACTATGTTGCTATTTAAGTATTTCCAAGGAAGTTCCCAAAATAAAGTGCTCATCTGAAGCACACGTTAGCATCTCCACACCCTGCAGTGTACTCACGTTCGAGCCCATTTATCCAGTTCTTCATCCAAGTAAGTTTTAACTTTTCTTGGCTGGAGCCCAAGAGAATTCCCAGCGAAGTATATGCAGCTCTCCTCTCCATTCACCAGGTTCAGATCAACTGTGAGGGAAAGCACAGAAACACTAAGCATGTGGGAGTGAGCACAGGAGCACATGTGCACACATCCCCCAGGTACATGTGTGCCACCACCCAGAGCTCCATCCATTCCACATCTCCCTGGGGCATTGTGGTCCCCATGCACAAACACAGTGTTACAGCCTGTCCTTGCTCCCAGGACACCTCTTAGGTGATCCTGCAAAGGATCTAAGGAGGAGGAACAGCAGGCAATTTGCAAGCAGTTATTCACCTTGTCCTCCTGCAATTTCTGAAGCTAATATGAGACCAGGCAGCACTAAATCCTCAGCTCTCTGAGGCTGTGCAAGAAGCAGCCACTGGCACTAGTTTTATCAGGTCTGTAACCAACAATGAGTGAAGAGGAAGCATTTTCCTGACCAGGCTATCTGCTTGTCTTCCACCATCAATATATACCTACTCTGAGTCAGGAAACTATTTGAATTGTGCATTTAATGAAAGTTAAGACTAGGTAAATCCGTGTCTTTCATGTGAGTTCCCCCTGCACAATTAAATCTCTATTTAGAAAAAATGTAGTCATAGCACAGAATATTTTAAGGGAGTCTCAAAAGTTCTTGTCTTGTCAGCATATACTGTGGGCTGCACTTCATGTCATCGTCTGAGGAGGAGGAGGAAATCTATGTTGACAAATCCTTTCAATGATTAGGAGAAAAGCAAGGCGGGAGAAATTTATAAATAATAGCTCTAGTGAGGTTCTGAACAATCTAATTACCCTGTGTCATCATCTATCAATCCAAACATTGCCTTTTCCTATTATTTCTCATGCTAGAGATTCTTGGAGGGACAAGTGATGGTGACCTTCTAGAAGGAGTAAGCAATTTGCATTCACCTATCCCTATACTTACAATAACTCAAAAAGTTAATATTAAATATAATTTTGATAAATATAGTTGATATACCTCAGAATAAAGGTCAAATGAATGAATATGTTAGGATACATGCTAAAAATGAACAATATGATTGCAATTCAGGCTGTGAACATTTTGGAGGGACTGTAGAAAAAAAAAAAAAAAGCCTGGAAAAGGTCTCTTAGTACCTTTAGCACTAATAATTACCAACTTCATTGAACTTCACCAGAAACACATTTTTCAGGAGTATAGACAACTTGGGTAATTTCTTAATTTAAGCTTGAGAAGCTTTTAAAAAGCATAAGTCAGAGAGCAATTTCAGCCTAATCTGTTTTACAGATACTAGTCTGTTTTTCATCTCTATTCTAATATGAATGAAAACAGAGAGGCATAAATATTATCCATGCTCCCAAACTGATTCTATTAACAGTTCTCTTCCTATCAAGAAACATAATAACAATGTCCCACTGGGAATAAAGGAAAATATCTTTGCTCAAGAATTTGGAACTCAAACTCTGTAATACTTTTTATGCTCCAACCAAGCATTAAGACAGGAAAGGAATTATAAGCAAGCCAAAGCTTTTCTTAGACCACTGTCTTTTCTAAATAAAAACACCTCTTGAGTCACTGTTGGAGAGAGATGACATTACCTTTATGATAAAATGTGCTTTTCTACTTTGCACTTCTAACTTTAGATATTCTTTTTTTTTATTTTATTAGGCTGTACTCTTCTTTTTGACAAAAAGCTGTTTACTTCATCCTCTCTGACATCATTAAAAGACTCATTTTGGATCACTGCTTCTTGGTTTTTGCAGCATCTTTGTCATTTCACAACTCCTCCTGACCAGCACACACTTGTGCTCCAACACTTTCACAGTCACTGTGATATTCTTTACAGTAGCACATTTGTTTTCTTAAGCCTAGCACTTGTCTTTCCCCAAATTACCTTTATTTCTCTCAGTATTGGCTCTTTTTATTTCTGGAGGAGCTGTTGATAGGCAATATATATTGAAATAGTCAAACAGGAAATAAGCACAATTGAGGAAATAAAGGCAAAGCCAAAAAGAAATAATTATTAAACTGTGTTCTCAGGGTAGCCTGAATAAATAAAAAATGTTTGCATTAAGATTAATTAAATATATAATATGGTCACACACCTACTCCAGATTCATGCAAACTGGTTAAATCTAATCACATACATTATTTTGCAGAGTAATTATACACATATATCTACATTAAATAGGCATTTTTATACCTTTTAAACCTAAAAAAAAATTAAAAAGCCAGTTTATGTCAGAAATATTCAGGTTAAAAAAAAAGGGGAACAAAGCAATGTTTTATTAACCAGAAAGTAAAGATTAAATCTGCTTACACATATCTGAGCTCTGCCCCTCGTTGGAGGATAAATCATCACCTCTTTCTCCCCTGCCTGTACCCCCCTCACAAGCCCTCCAAACAAAGAGGCAGATTTACATGATTAACTACTCCCTTTAACCATTTCTTCAGGGAAATACTGCTCAAAGCTCTCACTCTGGGGTATCTTTTTTATTCCCAAGGAACCCAGATGATGCTCTATTCCTTTACAAGATGACAAGGCACAAGCCATAGCCTTAATCAGATGGGTGATTTGGTACCCGAGTGCCAAGTGCAATCCAGTCATTCTTTCCTTCTCCCTGCAGTGCAGGAGAAGCCTTAAAGAGACTTTGTTGTCAGCTTGGAGAGGAGCAAAGGGATCCAAACATTTCCCTAAATCTTCAGCTGTCATCTTTTCCTATTTGCTCACCTGAGCTTCCTCCTTCATGCGTGCACATAAAACCTCTGAGATTTGCAGGGAGTTAGGCTGCTAGTGGTTTCCACTTGATTGATAGAACAAATAAACAGCTGTGACAGTTTATAACTTGATAGCTGAATTAAACTATTATAATGACTTCCTAAATAATTTTCTGCACGTCATCCTACAAGTTGGCTCCTATGGATGTTCTCATCTGCTTCTTGTTAGGCTTTGCTTTAAAATCTCATTGTAATGTTTTATGTAAATATATAAAGAATATTTGATGGCTAATATCTGTAATGACATTTATCTTCAGGAACTTGTTATCTAGGATCCGCTCCTGGGCACAGATAAATGTCATGGGAGATCTGTCTCTGTGGTATAGACACATAATGTAAATATAT